GCGACGACCTCTAGAGTTTGAGGTGGGAGATCATGTCTTCTTGAAGGTGATGCCTACGAGAGGAGTGGTCAGGTTCGGCAAGCGGGGAAAGCTGTCGCCAAGGTACATTGGGCCCTTCGAAGTACTCGAGAGGGTGGGTGCAGTTGCTTATCGGTTGGCGTTACCGCCAAATCTATCGGGTGTTCACGCGGTATTCCATGTCTCTATGCTCCGGAAGTATATCCCAGATCCGACTCATGTGGTAGATTGGGGCGAGCTTGTTGTTGATGTGGATGGGACCTTTGAGGAGGGACCGGTGCGCATCATGGATAGCAGGGAGCAGGTTTTGCGGGGCAAGACTGTAAGGCTAGTAAAGGTGCTGTGGCAGCACCGAGGAGTGGAGGAGGCGACATGGGAGCGTGAGGACACCATCCGTACCAATTACCCATTTTTGTTCGAGGATGGAGGTACATGTTTAAAATTTTAAGTATGAGGTTACTTATTGCATATGCATGTGTCTAAGTGTGCATGTGTGTGAGAATTTCGGGGACGAAATTCTTCTAAGGGGGGGAGAATGTAAAATCCCGGTAGATTTAAACTTTTATGAATAAAGGGTAAAATGGTAAATTGTCACCATGATTCGGGTTGTAAATCTGAAATTTTTTGTAACTCGGATGACAAAACGGACCTCACCGTTGGATTCGTCTCGCGAAATCGAGTTACCACGTCAATTTTCGTCGAATTCTGAGATAGTCAAATTTTTCACGTTTTACGGAGCGATCGGGCTTCGGGTGACCCTGTACACGAATTTTTTTATAAAATTTTAAATTTTGGGCAATAAAATAAGATAAATTGAAATAAAAATATTTTAGATTTAAACCGGGGCGAGATTTAATTGTTCGGGACAAAAACGGACCCGGAATTAAAAATGGACATGTGGCCAATTGTGGGCCAAGTGTTCTAAAGTATAAATAGGGGGAAAAATCAGATTTTTCCCCCATTGTTCAGCATCCTCTTCAGCCGATAGAAAAGAGAGGGAAAGGAGAGGGAAAGCTTCAACTTCTCTCTATGATCTACATAATTCTAGTGCTCAAATCCGCTTGGACCAAGAACAAAGATCGTTCTCCTCGTCAAGGGCTACGTCTACGTACCAAAAGGAAGTGATTTCACCGAATAATCAAAGGAAGAATTTTTGGAGATCAAAGCTTTTGGGTTGGTTTTGGTGTTTTAGGGGTTTTCTACACTCCTAAGAGGTAGGGGTTATTCCTACTTTGGATTATTCTTACCTTAGGTGTTGCTAGACTAAGGGTGAAAATTATGTATATGCATATGTATTGTTATACATATATGTCTATGGGTATGAAAGTGAAAAAAAAAATTAATTAGCATAGGAATAGCTTAGGCTAGCTTCTAGCTTGAATTTGGTATATGGAGGTTCCATGTGATTATTTTGTAACTTGGTGAAAACTTAAGGCATGCTATGTGTTTTATAAACTATGCCTTGGAATGTGTTATGTGAATACATGACTTGAATGACTATAAGATGTTTGATAAAATGCCCTAGTGAAATTGAGTGTGTTACTTGCATGATGCTATGTTATAACATGCTTGGGTGATTGTGAAATCATATGCTTAGGATATGGTTTTTGGATGAAGAGTGTTATTGACATATGCATGAAATGATATATTGAGCATAATGAGATATGGTAGTTATATCCTTATGATACAATTGCATTGATGTATGAAAATGTTTATATGTTTGTCATAAGCATATTGAGCATTATTTTGTGTGCAATGGAACATCACATTGCATTTGCACGGAAGTGTCTCATTACATGAGTGAGTGCATGTTTGACGTCAATACCACACTTGGTGATTGACGGAAGGCTTGGGAGAGTTGGGTCGAGGACTTAGCTAAGCCGCTTGGTTGCATGATGAATTGGGTTGGGGTAGCAAGAAGAGGCATGACGACCTCTCGGGTGCAAGACCCGGTGATTGGGCTACGCACTCCCTTGGCTCGGCCCATAAAGTGTGTGGGTGTATTCGGAACCCTCGGTGGAAGTCCGTAAATTTCGTGTGGGTTGGAGGCCCTTGGTGTAAGTCCATGAACATCCACCCCTATACAAGACCCTAGAGTGATTAACGCCATTGTGTGTAACATAAATGGTGGTTTCGACTAAATTGACACTTGCATGTGTTGGGGAGCCGGAGAGAGCTCGGAATAAAGTTGCATGGGTGAGTGTCACTTCATTCCATGGCATAGCATTGTTGCATTCCATCATAGGATGCATAAGTGTGAGAAATGCTTGGTTGAATGTTTGTGTGATGATTACATGAGCATGTGCATCTAGGGGAAGAGTAACCTCTATAGGTTTATCTCTATTGGGCGTTGTGCTCACCCTATACGGGAAACAATTTCAGGTACGGGACACGTTCCGGTGGATGGCTCTCATTCGGGGGCTCTTGGTTGAAGAAAAGCCGGGTTGTGGCTTTTGAATTTAGTTTTTGTAAAACTTTTGGTTAATTTCCATTTTGGCATGTAAAAGTATGGAAATAGTTGTATTAGAACTTGTATTGACTATATTTGGTATCAAATAGATGTTGTATAAGTTTTGGATAACCTTGGATTGGTTTGGATTGGTTTTGGAATGGATTGACTTGGGGTTGAAATCATACACAGTTTACACAGAAATTTCAGACACTGCTTAGTGTTTGAGCCATAACTTTTATTGTGACGTCCAAATGATCTGAAATTTTTACAGTAGGTAGTAGACACCTAGGGCTACAAAAGTGTTTTTATGAAATTTCTCAATTCCACTTCTAAACAGGTCAAAACCGCACTGGAAGTTGCAGCAGAACAGAAACTGCATTTTCTGTTCGAACGTAAAGTGACGTTCGAATGGTGCGAGTTTTGAACAGCAAAACCAGCAGAGAACCAAATGTACTGGGAGCTACCTATTTTTCAAAACCAAGGGACGTTCGAATGTGAATAGTGCTGTTCGAACGGTGACTCTAAAACCGAAATTTTTCAAACTATGCACTAAGCTTCCAGGCTTGGATTTCTTTGATTTAAAGAACACCAATGGACTTGGATTTCTCTAGTTCCAAGGATACAAATGGACACTAATTGAGGTATATTGAGGCTTATTAGACCTTGGTGGATTTAAATGATAACTATTACATATATGCACTAATGTTAAAGTAACCTTGCATGTTTTGCTATAAATATGGATAATTGGACCCGGTGTGGTCAATGTTTACTTATAAATGGACCCGGTGCGGTCATTGTTTATATTGGGCCTCAGATGGGTCATGTGAGTTACGTTGCACAGGTTGGGTATTGGGTAGAGTTCCCTGTACAAAGGAGACTCTGCCCAAATTTTGTTAAGTTATGGACCTCGGTAAATGGGACATAACGGTGTGATATCGAGTCACTCGGTATTTACGGGTATTCCGCGGGTTGATGGGTAATCAACGGACCCCCGGATTTTGGGGTGTCACATTTTCAACTTTTGAAGCTAACTCCCTTTATTTTGGTTCCATAGTAAATAGGTCTAGGTTGTAGGCTCTTTATTCCACTAGGGCTGTGCAAGCGACTCCTCCACCTAAAAGGGTGAGACCGAATGATGCTTCTATGGGTTCTCAGCAGGTGGCTCCTTTACCTGTTCCAATTGTCCAAGCAACTTCTCTAGCTACCTCTCCAACCGGGGCATCTCCGGAGGTAGACATTCACTCTTTAGCACAAATTGGGACGGCCCCTATTTCTTCTGTGTCCATGCTTCAGGATATGAATGATGCCAAGGACCGACTTTCAAGGTTCATGTCGCCCTTGGATATCAAAGAAGTTAGTTGTTAGGGTATCGATGGTGTTATTAACACCATGATGGAGGGCTTGGCCAGGGTAATCATCTATACTTTCAAGAAATTTCATTCCTCGTGTCTGCTAACGAAACTGATATTTTCTTCTTTTTGCATGTTTGTAGGTGTCCATAGCCGTTACGTGTCTTTTTTTCGAGGGTTACCCATCACGAACACTTATCAAGGATTCTGATAAAGGAGAGACAGATATTGCAAGCTGTTAAAGAGTAGTTGAGGGTAGCTTACAAGAGAGTTATGCCTCTTGAGGCAATGCTTTTGGCTACTTACGAGAGAGCCGCTAAGCTGGAGGTTGATAGTGAGATTGCCCGCACGAAAACAGAGACAGAGTTGCGGGTAACCCATGAGAGAACTATCCAACGTGAGGTAGAGATGCAGGAAACTTATGGGAGGGCTTTTAGATTTGAGGTAGAGTTGCAATCAGCCCAAGAAGAGGATATCAGAGTAGAGGTTCATTCCTTGGAGATGGATAGGATGAGTGAGGATGATCTATAGGATAGCACTGCATGCACCTTTATTGATGGCTACCAAGATTTCAGAGGGAAAGCTTTTGATTGCTTTTTCCAGCATAGACTTTTTCAGATTCGTTCCTTATGAGGAGGCATACGTTGCTGATATTGATGGCGAGGACTCTGGCGATGGAGAGTTAGATGACAACGAAGAGCGTGACAACAATGAGGGTAGTCAAAGTTCTAAGGTTATTTGATGTTTTTTTTCTCTTTTTTTTTTGTAGGTAGGCAGATTATGCTTTGACTTTTGTGGAAGTGGCTTTTGTTTCTAAACTTCTTATGAAATGAAAGTAAGGCAAATTTGAAATAATGAGTGTGTCAGGACGTGACACATGGGTGTAGGTATCGGGCATCTCAACACCTCCTCATAGATAGCAAGGTCTCTAGAGGAGTCATTAGAGATTAGGTCACCCATCTCAGTCTGATGGCACAACACCGCAGGGAAAATAAAAAAAGTGAATATAATCTTAGCAATCCCAACATCAGTATTAAGGGAGAAAAAAATTAGAGCTCGCCTCAAAGGGCTACCTTACCATGATACTTGTGTCATTGTGAACGTGGGGGAACACTACCACCATCACCTCTTGTCATTTGCCTAGCGTATAGCTCTGCGCGTAACTACTTCCTGGCATCTAGCCCGTCTACTTGCGACATGGTGCCTGCCACTTACTCCCAGGCACCCATGACAGCCCACGTGCCCGCAATTGCCTCCACGGGGCCCTTGCCCGCAGTGCCCTTGCATGGCTCAGCACACTAGGCACCTTCGTCGACACCCTTTACTTGTGCCTGCCTCCACTACGACCTCGTCTGCGGTACCCTTGCCTGCCTTGGCACCCCAAGGGCCTTTCTCTTGCCTATGGCGCCCCAGGGACCTTCCACTTGCCTATGTCGCCTTTTCCTACGCCCTGGCCAACAACGTCTTTGTTGCCAGGTGCCCTCGTCAATGACGCCCTAGTCCGTGCCCGTGCCAGCTCTGGCGCCTGCCATGGCACCTGTGCACGCTGTGGCACCCACACCTGCGTTTGCACCCCTTATGGTGCCTCTTGGTGCCACCTTACCTAAGGCCTGCTTCTTGAATCCCAATTCACTCGACATCTCTCCTTTCTCTATTCTTTCTCAAATTGAGTTGGGAGAATTGATGTGAGGGGGTCCTATTTATAGCCATGGTTTTAGATTTGATAGCGTCATAATCAAGTTGAGAGTCTAAATAAGATAGGGATATGAGTTGAATGAGAAGTCATAATCAAAATGGGATAAGGAGCCTATCTGAAGCCTTATGGCAAGAGACAAGCTCGCCAGGAGAACGTCAAAACAACGATAAGTCTTCACCAAAATAGTGCCTGTCAATCTAGTTGGGCGAAAGGAATTCAAATCTCAAAGCAATACCCGCGAGGGCAAGGGAAAAAGGGGAAGGAACAGGAGACAAAATTCATCATTGCAAAATACCCTCTCCCCCAAATCCCATTGGGTTTGGGCATGGGGGCAAATGATGGGCCTGCCCCAAACTAGTCCCAGAATTACAAACTAGTCCTAGAGTTTTAAAGTAGGCCCAACTTAGAGGCCCGATTTTGGAATGCAGACCAAGTCCATCATAGGAAGAAAGAAGCTAGGTCAGGTCATTCGCACCATCTTTAGAGAGTTAGGTCAGTCGCGCTATCTTGAGAGACTCAGTTCACAATTGACACGTGAGGAGATCTCCGTGGGACGCGCACATTACCACCTCCATGGAACTATCTCACCTATTACGAGAAGGGCGTCACCTTCAACGAACTAATTCATCTATTACAAGAAAGGCGTCTCAATTTGTTAGGAAACCCCTACAAATTGTAAGTTCCATCTACACAAGGGAGGATCTCTCACATATCACTTACATTTGAACACTTACCACCACTTGAGCAATAAAATACTCAAGTCATCCTAACCTTTCACAGTGGAGTAGGTCACCCTGATCGAACCATTTAAATTGTGTTTTGCTTGTGTGGACTCTCATTCTTTATTACTGCATTTAATGTTTGACAGGTGGTGCATACTTAAATTGTGTTTTGCTTGTGAAATGACTCTCATTCTTTATTATTGCATTTAATATTTGACAAATGGTGTATAAACCCATTTTATGCATCATCAATAATGGATTCCAATATTAAATGGGATCCATTTCTAATCTTATGGTAATCATATAGTAAATCTCCAAATTAGATCTAAGTATGGTACGCAGTGGCAAAACCACTCAAGGACTAGGTGCCCACCCTCAATATTTTTGCCTTACCATAATTATGCCCACCTTATTATTTTTTTTTTAAAACATTATTGAAACTTAATTTGAGGATCTAATCCAATATAGCCATTGAATTACAAGCAGGCTTAATCTAACCTTAGAACTCACCACCAATTCAACAACTACATTGAATTAGGTTTGTATAGTATTACTCTATTGTCTTATCATGTCAATTAGTACATACTCAACCTTAGATGACTAATAGTGGACACGTTTTAGACATTCAAATTAATTTGGACATATTGGGTTCATTCTAAAATTGTTGATCAACTTAACCATTTATTATTTATGTGCACATTAGCATTGAGTTTAAAACTTAGCAAAGATTTGTGATCTTGCTTACAAAATTTTAAAATAAAAAAAATACGTGGTATATTTTTTATTGTACATATTTGTAATTTTAGCATTAATTTTATTATTCATTAATAGTGAAGTCATCAGACAACGCTATAAAAATATAAAAATTTGTTGGGTCAGTTGCAACTATCTACAATTAAACTCATTTTTAATAAAAGAATATAATTAATCTCTTTTTTTTTCATATATGCATAGAATTTTTAAAGATCATTGATGAAATTAATAATACAAATATGTAATCTTATTTTTATTGATTAGAATGAACCGTATTAGAGTGCACACCCTAGAATATTTTTTTGGCTCAATCACTGACCGTACATATACATATCTATATATCAATTTATAATATAAAATATGATAGACTTCAATAAGTCTATCTTACAGTCTTAAATAGATTAATCTAACGGCCACTAACATGCATTTTAAACTATTCACATTACACTGTGTCTTTGGGTTACTCCTAATGTTTTTATAAATAAAGAGATATATAGGTATGTATGTCTTGCTTCTTGATTTTTTCCATGAGTTTATCATTGAGCTTCATGTAAGTTGTGTCCATGTTATAATTTAGAGAGAATTATATTCAGATTCTTTAAGGTTTATCACTTAATCCCTAAGATTCCCTCACATTTAAAATATTACACAAATCCCTTAAAGTTTGTATGTGCATAACACTTAGACTCTTGTCGTCTATGTCCATTAGTAAATTACATTCAGACCCCTAAAGTTTATAGACATGTAATATTTAGACCCCTTAAATTTAAAATATTATATTTAGACAAAAAATACTCCAATAAAAAATAGAATATCAAATATTTTAATTTTATAACCAAAAACATGTTCTATTATGACATTTATTAAAATATAATTTTAAAAAAAAATCATAATCAGTATATGATTATACTATATATTGGAATTTACTTTGGTCGTTTAAACGATCAAATTAAACTACCAAATTACACCAATTAAAGCTAGAATGTATTGTGTCCTTTACAGTTTGACCTCTTGTTTGTTTGTTTGTTTTTTGTTTTTTTTCAATAGATAGTATAATAGTATACTAATTATGAATTTTAAGTAAAATTAGATTTTTATTTTTTATTGTATTTTAATAAATGACATAATAGAACATGAATTTTGATTTTAAAATTTAAAATATTTGATATTTTATCTTTGATTGGAGTATTTTTTGTCTAAGTATAACATTTTAAACTAAGTAGTTTAAGTATTAAACTTGAGGAGTTTGAGTGTAATTTACTAACAGATATTGACGGTAGGAGTCTAAGTGTTACACGCGTACAAACCTCAAAAGTTTGTGTGTAATATTTTAAATGTCAGGGGGTCTGAGTGATTAAATAACAAATCTCAAATGGTATAAGTGTAATTCTCCCTATAATTCTATTGAGACATAATTTAAACACATAATTTGGAGACTTAATAATTGTAGCTATTAGATTGTCAATGAGTCCCAACATTAAATTATCATTGGGTTCTAACTATCAATCTAATGGTTATAATATATTAAGTCCTCAAATTATGTCTTAATAGCATTAGTGTTTTATTAAACGTTTCCAACAGTAATCCAATTATGATCCAAGCTCAGTAAAACAAACCATACTTGGATAGTTTTGGATTGATTTTGGGAAAATTTGGAGGCTGGTCGCCCTATATGAATTTATTTGGACTTAAATCCGTCAAAGAAACTTATTTGTTATAAAGTTCGTTTTTCAGTTTTACTAGATTATCTCTTCCCTTTAGAAGTAAAGTAAAACTTAAAATTAAAAACTCTTAAATTTTAGGAGTTTATCTAACATTAATTTTTTTTTCTCATATCTATATATATTCATATATAGGTTATGACTATATGAGAAAAAATAAAAATATATAAAAAATAGTAACATTCAAATAAAAAAAAAGTTATCATTTAAACACAAAAAATAATATCATTTAAGCACAACAAAATAGTAACATTTAAATATAAAAAAATAGTAACATTCAATATTAATATTTTAAAAAATAACAATAGTAATATGTTTAACAAAAATAGTAACATACTTAACAAAAACAGTAATATGCTTAATAAAAAAATAGCAATATAGAATATTGAACAAAATTGAAAATAAAAATAGAAGCATTCAAACCTATGATCAAATGAAGAAGTCTCCAATTATTCAATATCCAAAAAAATAACACTGAAAAAATAATAATATGCTTATAAAAAATAGTAACATGAAAAAAATAATAATAACATGGTCAATTAGAAAAAATAGTAATATGATCAACAAAATGTAGTAACATGAAACATTGAAAAAATTTGGAGATTATTTATCAAAAAGATAAAAATAAAATTAGAGATCAAACTAATACAACATTGAACAAGTTTTTTAACATTTGTTTCCGAAAACCAACGATATAGAAATTCATGATAACCGTAACGCAGTAGAAAATATGATAGTTGTTGATAATATTTCAAACTCTACTGATTTTGATACTATGAAGGAAGAAATGATATCTAGAGAGAAAGATTTATTGTATTAGAGTGATGATCTTCTTCTAAAGCGCGCGCACGAGAGAGAGAGAGAGAGAGAGAGAGAGAAGAGAGAGAGAGAGAGAGAGAGAGAGAGAGAGAGATAAT